TTTGTAAGAATAAGACTTGCCACAGTGTATGGAGCCAAGTGTTCCCTTCTGAGTCCCTTGAGTTACCTAGTTTTTGGAAGACAGTGAACATCCCAGATAGCATATTTCAGTAAAGCAGCAGTATTCGAAAGCTGAAGAAAACATATTGACTCAAAATTAGCCAGCCCAGGATATATTTGGAGCTTATTGCCCTGTTATCCTCCTGCTAGCGGACAGTGAAGCTTCAGTGTATAGTGTTTACATCAGTGTTTGTTAACAACATTTGTCACTCTCTTGAAAGGGATTACAGCACATGGCAACCTCAGTGCTGTCAAAGTCCACTGGGCTCTCGCTGTTTCCTGGACATGTTTTTACGTGTTATTCTTACTCAAGTCATCTTTATAGATGCACAAAAATAGCTCTGAAGGGATGTTTTTAGAATGTGTTATTTCAGAAACTGAAGTTCAGGATGCTGTCCATGATGACTGCGTAGTGTACTCCGCAATCGAAGAGGGTTGTTTCTATCCCCCCGACCCTCATGGCTCCTGTTCTTTTAGAAATGAAAGGCAGAATTATGTTAGTTTTCCTTTTGAAGGCTCTGCCTTAATCAGGAACAGCTGCATTGTGAGAAGCTCAAACTGCTTCCATTGTGTTCTATTATTTATTCTGAAGCCTGATGAAGATGTAAAAAACAAAAACAAAAACAAACAAAAAAACCAAACAAAAAAAACAAACAAAAAAACCAAAAAAAAAACCCCAAAGAAAAACAAAACCAAACCAAAATGAAACAACAAAACAACAACTAAAAAAACCTTAATGCCTGCAGGAAACAAACTGTTTTTCAGATCCAAATGTGCAAGAAAACAAGAGGTTAATAAAGTTCTGACACTCTAGAAAAGCAAGTTTTTGGTATCCTAAGTAGAACTGATACTTCTTGCTTCCAGTGTTCCCAGTCCTCACCGATCCAGGGGATTTTTCACATAACTAGGTATTGTATAATTTAAGATATATTAAATATGTAAGAAAGTATGTTTTTAGTTACAAATGTGACTATGTAAGGTAGGGTGTTGAAAGAAGTAGTTACACTTACCAAGTGTGTTCTGTGTCTAGGTATATTCTTTTATAACGGACATCCAGTAAGACAGGTGGATGTCGTTGGGATAGTGGTTCAAATGAAAGAGCGAGATGCCTTTTATAGTTATGGAGGTAAGAATGTTTGTTTCTTTCTTCTTGCACTTATGAGCCTTCTAATCTTAATTACCATTAGAACTTAAAGGTTGCCTTATTTGATCATTGTCTGTTCTTGAAACAACTGTGCTCTTATCCTAACATAATGTATCTGCAGCTCAGATTACTTAGCAAACTTAGGGAAGCTACTGGTTTTTTCCACTTCTTGCTTTGCCACTGGACTCTACCATCTTCCTCTCATATATGTATGCAGTTCCTTTGGTCAGATATAAACAGATTTAACAGTGCCTGAAAATGGGAAGTCACTTCTTCCTTTTTTGAACCTTAGAAATCCCTTCTGACTTTTTGTATGTTTTGTCCTACCTTGGAGCCAGCTTTTAATAGCAGTCAGGATCTTGTTTATATTTAGATGCGTAAAAGTCTAAGCAAATCTAACTCAAGCATCATAGAACCGGTCCTTACCAACACCAGCTGGGAGTTGTCTCCTCCCTATTGCTTTTCCCAATATTCAGACTATTTTACTAACATGGGAACATCTGATTGTCATTTTGTTCAGCTGTCTTTTTCATCTGGAGAAAAAGCAGAGTGGAGTAGTGGTGATGTGGCAAGTTTCAAAAGGTGGGGGAGGTCATCTCACAGTAGGAAGGGGGAGCCAAATGCAGAGGTCCTATCAAAGCACTTGAAGGACTCATGTCCAGTGTCTTCCTCTGCCATGGGTTTCCACCTGATGGAGGTAAGTCACAGAGCACCTCTTCTTACCCAATTCCCTTACAAAATTGAGTCAGCAGCAATTCCCTGACTCACAGGAGTATTGTGAAGATACACTTGACAACTTACCCAGGTCCCAGCTTCCACACCACCTGCAGTTGCATCATACTGCTGCAGAGTAGCATTAACTGGTAGTGCATATAGCATGCCCTTCACTGGGTGCGGCTGCTTAGAGTTGACTCTATGCTCTATAGAAATGTCCCTGCAAGTTTCTTAGAGTGAATATTTTCTAGATTTTTTTTTTTTTAAGTCTAATTTCTGGGTGTTTGTTGTTACCCTGCCATTATGCTAAATAACGAGTTGACAGTAGATATTTTGAAGCACAAGTTTCTCTGGCACTTTAAGCAGCACAGGCTAAACAAGCACCTAAGTTAAGAGACGGAGATGTAATTGATGATGTAATGAAGTGTTGAAACATAAATTGAATGTCAGCTACTATTCTTTTATTGCACTGGTATGCAAATGCAGTTATCACTTCATGAGAACAGAGGAAGACAGAATCAAAATGACCAAGGCAAAAACAATTCTATGGGCAAGGATTTCCCACGCTGCTCTCAGCATTAGTTTGGATGTAAACTTGTTGGAAATGTTTGATTGGGGCAGAAAATGGAGGAATAGAAATAAAAAGAAACTGTGGAGTAGTGGAATTAAGGCCTTAGTGTTAGATCAGCCGACCTTTAAGTACAGCTCTCAGTGAGCCTGGCTTCCTGTTGTCCTTTCACATCCAACTCCACTCTTTGTTCCAGCAGTTCCTGGTTTGAGCTTCCGGGCTACCTGCCAGGGTGCCCCTCCCCAGCCTGCCCTCCCTTTCAGGCAGGCTGACTCTGCCAGTGTAAAATTGTAACTTCTTAGACAGTTTCCTGCTTGTAACTTCTTGCATCTCTCAGTTCAACAGGCTCTGGTTGGTGAGTCACAGAGCAGGCGTTGCATCAGTTGGAGTGCCACACACTGCTCAGTACTTGCTCACTTTCCGTCTGCTTAAAAGTGACTTGCAAAGCAATTCCGCCTTTGTACTTTTTTTCTGATAGAGAACTGAAATGTCTTTGTGTCACTGCCACTCGTCACTGCCTCCCATTTCCTGTCTACTTCAGAATACACACCGCTCATTTTAAGAGAATCTTAGGTCCTCTCTGTGCTGAAAACCATACAGCCAAAACTGGTGACAAAGTAATTGTAAAAGAGAGTGAATTGACTCTTTTCTGGCTTAAAAAAAAAAAAACAAACAAAACTACATGCCGTGTAAAACCTGATTTTGACATTTTGATTTGATTTTTTAATTGCTATTATTATGATCAATTATGAGAAGGATATCTAATTAAAGTGTAGCTTTGAACAAGCTCATGTTTTAGCTAATGCACCTTTCTGACCTCTTTTGTTTTTTCCATTCCTTTTTAACAAACCCAAACATCACATCTAGTTTTCCTTATACTCCAGAACTGTCTTGAAAGGCTGAAAGGCACTTGCCTTAAAAACAAATGAAAAAAATCTCACCAGGATCTCAGTAGGCTCACGCAGGCCTTACAAGAGCCATACCCTTTTTGTTACAAAGAAATAAAAATAAACATAATTATCTCATTTACCAGATAGCTTTGAGAGTGCTACCCCTCAAAAAGTTAATGTAAGAGTCAAAAAAACCCAAACAAACAAACCCACAAAAAACCAAACAAAAGTTTAAACCCAAGGAGATGAGGAAGGGCGGCACAGGGAGCACAGGAAGTTTTCAAAAGCTTGTAGACCCCTTGAGTGCATTTAGAATAGGTTAACATTCCCCTGTCTAATTAGAATACAATTGCAAGAGTTTTCATTCAACTGTGCTTCAGGAGTTATTTGTCTTTTTGCTCAAAGCTTTTATTTGTGAGCTGGGAAAAATTTGTTTCAGAGCCTTGCTCTGCTACCAGATTCCCTGTGTGGTCAGGAACAGGTCAATCTCTCCAGGACTCCATTTTCAGCTGTTAGATTGATGAGGAGGAGTCTGGCCTGCTAATCCTTCAGTCTTGTTTGTTTTTTTCCTAAGCCCTTCTTAGGAAGCATATCTGTCGCAGTTGGTGCAACAGCCAGTTGCAAGCTGGAACATCTAGAAGCTGCAGTAATGTAATAGTGAAATGTCATCTGCCCTGTTTCTTATTGCTGTTGCTGGCTTGCATGAATGACTTGGCATGGTATATTTGGGCTCTGACTCCTACTAAAATAGTTGCTTTTTGTCTGTACCAAGGAGAGGAAGTCCTACCAGCTAGATCATTATCTACGCTCTGGTACAAAATTAAAGCTGCTGAAATAGCTGCAGACACAACAGCTCAAAAGGGGGATAGCAATGAGATGAGCATACTTTTGTGATGGAATCTGGAATTGCCTGCATCTTATAAATGCAGCTAAGCCACTGGGAAACAGGAAGGCAAGACAATGATTTAAAATTGGACCCCCCAATAGGGAGATTGTTTCAAAACATGTGAGACAATGCAAAGGCATTTTGCTTTGATGCTATGGTTCCCAGAGGAAACGACTGCAGGTACCAATCAGTACCTTCCTGGTAAACATTGCGGTTACTTTTGTAGTCATGGATCTGGTTTAAGGAGCAGAAGAAAATTGTAGATTCCAATTTGTGAAGAGTGGAAGCTCAATCTTGGAGATGGCTACATTCATGGAGCAAAGTGCTTGGAGCATTAACTGGACTGGAAATGTGATCCTTTCTGTGGTTTGACAGATGTTTAGTGCCTTTTTATTTAAAGAGTATTTGTTGGACATGCCATCTATACAGTCTCTTGATCTGTAGAACAATTGATTCTTCTGATAGTTTTTTAGTTTTCTTTGGGTTTTGTCTTTTTCTGCTGTACTTGACAATGCAGTGCCTGGGGCAGAAATCGCAAAACTTACTTTGATTAGGTACTAGCAAAACAGGAAAATCTAGACAGCTCCCGTGCTTAGGAGAAGGTGTTAAGCTTTTTCAGCAATGGAAGTGGCTTGCATGCCACCAGTACGTATACTTTAAGTTGGGAATTCCTGGCCTGGAGCAGAACCACAAGCATGTGCTGTCCTCTGTCCTTCCTGGCTAGAGGAGCTGCCTTTCTGTTCTCTGGAACATCTTCTTGTACGCGAGAGGCCAGCAGACTTTGTGCACTATATTAGCGTGGAAACCAATGCAGCTGGAGGTTGCAGCACTCCTAGGCTATTCACATGACTGTACCCCCCAATGTTGAAGTGCTGTTTTCTCACTGTTACAGTAATGCTTCTGTGTTTTGTGTCTGGTTTCCTATTTTAATTTGCCTGGATTCAGCTTTCAACACTGATTCTTCTTCTGATCTTGTCAATGAGATTAAAACCCTTTAATATCCAATATATGTACTGAAGCCTCATAATTTATATCAGTGCTTGATCTTGTTTTGAGAATATACCTGTTACTTTGCTGACTATGCACATAAGCATGGTATTTGGTGCTGAGCTACTTCCACAACTGAAACGACTGTGGATATTATTTCGGAGGTATAAGTAGGGGTTGAGCACCCACTTTCCCTTTCAGACTGGTTGGCACTAGATATACTTGGCAGTCATCTCTCTACATATCTATGTATCTTCACTTCTTGGAACACCACTACCTGCTTTCTTACTCTGTAATTCTTGCAATTTTTTTTTACAGTGGATGATAGTACTGGAGTTATAAATTGTGTCTGCTGGAAAAATCCCATGGTAGCAGAAACATCTTTATCAGGTAATTTATCAAATAAATAATTCCTCTTTTGACTGTACATTTTTGCTCATGTCTGTCTTACATAATTTAATAAACGATCAAACTTGCAGAAGACCAAATTCAACTCTTTTTTTTTTTTTTTTTTAAAACCATCACATCCTACAGCCTGGGCCATTTTGGGAGTTTCGTATTACTTTTTGTGTTGTGTCCAATGGTGGTGCCAATAAAACCACTACATTATGACCTGTCATGCCTTTTCCTTATCTGAGTAATACGGTATTTCAGTTCTATGCTGTGACATTGTTCAGAGAATCCTCTTCTTATGGTTCTTCTTGTGATTTCATCTAGTGAGGAACTAGGCTGGAAATCTGCCACATGCCACAGCTTCTGTTTCCAAAGTCCATTGACCAGCAACCTGGTATACGTTCCCCACCCAGTGGTTTCAGAATTCATCTTCTCTTCCTTGTTTGCAGTCATTCTCCTCCTGCTCACGCGTATACTGTCAGTGATGAACTCTAGAGTAGCTTAAAACACAGTGGGAGGATGCCAGCAGTCTCTTAACATTTGGGAAAGTTCTAAATGTGCAGAAATCATGCATTTGAAATGAATCTATTATTGCACTTAGTAACAGAAGAACTCACTAGTGTCTGGCTTCCCCCCCCCCCCCCCCCCCCCATTTCTCATAGATCAAAGCATGGAATACTTTCTACTTTGGACCTTCTTGAAAGCTCATGTAGTAGATTGACAACCCTGATATGGAGCTGATCAAATCCTACTGAAATAAATGTTACTAGTGTCATCTGCCAGTGTTAGGGTTACATATGCACAGAATGGGGAAAGGAAAGCTTCATGTCAAAGTTAAAAACTCTGTCTGTGGAACAGGCCCATGTATACAGACAGATAATTCATACTTACTTTAACAATGATATGACAAGTGGTATAAACAATCCCAGCTGGAACTTGGAATCTAGAAGACAGCTCTCACTTTTAGAGAGGTGATGTTGTGGCACAGCTTTCCAAAAAAATAATGGGGACCCACAATAAAATCAGGTTTTTATGAGGAACTTAAATTCACTGAACGAATTGCATTCACTGCTTGAAATAGAATGAGGATCCAGAATGCTTGTTTCATCCTTGTGTTCTTATTTTACATGGACATCAGTAGTGCTTGCATGGACACTATGTTATTAATGGAAATTAATTCATTTGTACCTGCTAAAGAAAACAGCTCCTAGGGGACACAGGAAACTTTCTTCCAGCCTTTAGTAATTGTGATCAGGTATACTTGGATCATTAATCAGGTTTTAAGTTATGAAGAATTTATTCTCCTGCAAAGGTGTGTTACATAAATGTGAAGTTCTGTCAAGTTGCATTCACCTCAGTGTAGACATCAAATTGCATCACATTAATACTTTGGCCCCACCTCAGATGACTCATTCTTCTCTTATGTAAAAAGTACAGCTGACCTTTCTTTTCTCCTCTCATCCATCTTAGCATGACAAAATCAAAAAATTACAAAACCCATTTCAAATTAATGTTTCAATTTTGCAACCCATCTATGACATTTTCATTGGTAAATCAGTATCTCTTCCCTTTTACACTTTCCCCAGGTGAACTACTTAAATATAATACTGTAAACTAACTTTGTCACCCAAGAGTTTTGGTACCCAGGACACATGGTGCCTGGGATCTTATCCCTTTTTTAGTAATATGACTCCTGTGATGCTTAGGTGTTTGGATAAATGCAAAAGGACAGTCCTCTTGGCCTTAATGCCTGATGTCCTTTCCCCCACTTTTTACAGGTCGTCCAAGCACACCCAGCAGTCTTGCTGTGCTTGAACAGATGAAGAAACTCCAAGAAATGGTGAGCCAGAAAACCAAGCTGGAGATCGGGGATATTGTCAGGGTTAGAGGTCACATGCGAACCTACAGGCAACAAAGAGAAATTCAGGCTTCTTGTTTTTGTGAGTGTTATGGATCTGTGACATATGTAACTTAATTGTCTGAATTTGTGAGAAGGTCTAAGCTGTATGTAATTCACTGAATAATTTCCAGTTTATTTTCTGGCATCTCATTTTTCTAAAGAGATTTTCATCTGTGTGTCTTTATTTCAATTTTAGCCGTGTAAGGTTAGAAGACACACTACTTAATGTGTGGGATTAGATTGCCTGTAAATGAGGCAAGATGACTAGCATGCATACAAGAATGCTATGCAGATACTGTGGTTGGATATCTGTGAGAGTGACTTGCTCTTCAATTTGCTTTGTGTTGAAGTAGAACAGCCAAAGCCCATGGGAAGGGAGTTGGTGACCTTTTTATGTCACACTTCATCAGAAGCATCAGCTGCTTTGGAGAAACGGTTGCTGTTTGTCGCAGCCTGTATAATCCATTCCATGGGCAGACAGCAGCATATGGGCACATTGTACTACTGAAGCCCAGGTTCTCCTAAAGTCTCTGGCTCTGCAGAATGACTGAGAAGTGTTCTTCATCTTCAGTCACTCAGGCACAGATCTGCAGGTGCTGCTCCTGTACCTGACAGGTCTTTGGGCAGCAGGGTTCTGCAGTCCACTGCTTACACCCTAGGAGCTTCCAGTTACATAACTACTTCTCTTCTCCATTTCTGTGCTATTGTGTAAGAGTTGGTTTTCCCCAGTGAAATCTTTCAGAGACAATACTGAAATGATTCCTTTGGTGGGGGGAAGCCCGTCTTTTAAAAACCCTGTGTAGCTCAGATTAAAACTCTGTAGATTTTTCAGCTCTACCTAAAATCTGAGAGGGTATTCAACCCTCCTTTCCAGACAGAAGATTTATGAATATATAACCCATTCAAGGGCTTGTAATAATACCATTATTTCATTAAAGGAGAGCCACGCAATTCAAATAGCCTCTAAATTGCTTTCACTTTGGTCCAAATAAAGCTCCTTACTATGTGTTAACTTCATCCAATGGATAAAGACTGCTGAAAGGTAAAATAGAGATCATAAATTCTGGTTAAATAAGTTGTCAGACAAAAGCATAATCTGCAATGCACCACAACAGGTTATTTACCTCCTTGTAAACTGTAAAAGCAGGAGTGGCCTTTGTGGTTTTGTTTTTATAAAACAAAATTTGCCAATTTAATACTGGCATGTGAAGCTCTATTGTGCCTCAGGTATGCTTGCTTAAAAGATTGGTATGGCAGTTCTGGCCAAGTATGTATGTTCTTTTTGCTGCTCCAGATAAAGTGGATGATCCTGTGTGTGATGTTCAGATTTCAAGAATGCTGGAGCTCCCCTGTCTCTATAGAGAAGTTTATGATAAACCTTTCCAAGATCCTGAGGAGGGACAGAGGTAAATGCAGTATTCAGACTGGTCTTGGGGCAAAGTGTGGGATTTTATTATTGTTTATTTGTTTTTGTAATAACTGTGGAGAAAGATAGAACAGGGCCCCACTGTGATTTAGACTCTGCACAAGCATGCAGTAGCAGCCTGCTTTTCTCCCAAATAATTGATGATCCATACAGATGAGATACCTGTCCATAATCTGAGAAAAGAAATATAATGCTGAACCAAAGTGAATATTAGGAAGGTAGTAAAATACTGTTTACAAACCTCTTGCATATAGTAAAGAAAGCTGGGGTTTGGAGCAAGGTTTGGGGGTGAGGTCAACAGATTAGATGGGGGAGTGTCCTTGCCTGATTTTGTTTTATGTGTAAGGATAAGGAGCTATTCCATTGAAATGCTCTCAACTTCTGCTGCCTGTGTCATCATCAAATCACAAATACATAACCTCAATAAACTGAGTCAAACACCCATTCCTGTATTCAGTTTAAGGGTAGCTGGGTTCTTATTGGCAGGTCTGTTGCATGTAGCGTGCTTTCAGAGATTGCAGATCTTAAAATCACAACACTGTTACAGCACATGATTGAAGAGGAACAGTTGGATGTTTATTGCATATAAAAATGATCTGTTTTAATTAAGGGTTTAAATTCAGATTCTTTAAGGACAGTAAAATACCTTCTGACCTTTGAAAACCCGTCTAGCATGCTAACTTCAAGTAATTGTTCTAAAAAATGTTAGTAGTATATTTCTTGCCTTTTGACATGTTCTATGTATTCTTGTAGTGGCCTGGAGGGTCAGAATTTCTCAATCAATATGCTGCATGACAAAGTGAAAAGCTTTCTATTAGAAAACAAAATTCAGACCTTTTACCAACAGGAGTTGGAAACAATTGATACTCTGGTGTCGCTGGCTGGTATGCATCTACCCAGTCCCAGCTGTCAGGAGGTGAGTGAATGTAACTGTTTCAAGTTTTTAGTGAAGGGAAATAACAGCATGTACTTTTTTTAAGCATAAACAACCAGATCAGAGACTGGTGCCTTCAGGGGATTCAAAAACCACAAGTGCTTTAGCTTTAGCTCTGTGCATGAATTATTTACAGAGCTTGAGGAAACCTCGTCACTTGAGACATACAAAACTGGACTGAAGAAAGCCATATGAAAAAATTCTGTTGTTAAGGGTAATCTTGTATTAGGGCTGAGTAACCTTACAGTCTGCAACAGGCACTAGCTTATCTAAATCTGTAAGTAGTGGCAGTATCAGAAAAGGAGATTCCTTTAAGGTGCTTGAGCTGTTTGGGGCAGATGTTTGAGATCCTGAGTTTGATCAGGAGAAGGGAGCACAAAGTCTTTGTCTTGTTTCTCATTTGAAGCTCAATATATTAATAGAGATGTAGCTTTCAAAAGGAGATTATAATGAGTGGATGAACAGTGCTCCCTGCTACATATTTCTGGTTTTGGAAATCCCTAGTTGTGAAAGGCCATGATTGAAAGGATCAGAAGGTGGGATTTAATTGAAATCAGTTTACATGCAATTGCGTGGAACCAAACTGTTGAGAAACTTTCCAGTGAGATAGTATGCTCTTGATCAACCGCAGAATGGGAAATAGAACATCTTGTAAAATGGCTTTATATTACTCTGTGCTATTTGGCTAAATTAAAGACCAGATTGTCAACTTGTGTGAAGTGGTAAATTTCTGCAAATGTAATAGAGTTATGGCTTTTACCATGTTACCAATGGCAACTGAAACTTAAACTAGAGCATTGTGACTCACTTGTTTACTTTTTGGTTTTCTGTAGAGAAATAAATCCATGGCAGTCATTTTCACTGCCTGATTCTGATATGCACTGTAAAATTAAGTGCTATGTTATGTTAACATCGGATGTTTGTTTAATTCTTAAAAAAAAAAAAAAACCTAACACAAAAACCAGTCCCTTTGTAGATGAGGTCAAATAATAATGAAAAGTAGCTCTATTCTTGTTGGCCCCTGTGAACTGCTTCTGATAGCTGCTTCTTGATAGCTGTTTCTCTTATTTTTATTAAAGGCATTTTTGCCGTTTGCTTTAAAGCAAGCATGGATATAAACAATAACAGGAGCTACTCTCATTTTTGACAGAAAAGTTTGATACTAGAATTTCCAACATGGGACAGGGTATTTTTTCTAAACTAGCCGGAACAGTATTAAAAGTTCCCAAACACTTTACATTAAAGGAAGTAGTGGTCATTGTGACTAAGACTGGAAACTTCCATCTTTGAAGTTTCAGCATTTATAGAAAGATCAAGATGAATAACTTGCAAAGCCATTTAAAGTAGGAACTGCTGCAGAACAAACATAGAAAGGCACAAAAATAAACCAACCAAAAAAATCAAACCAACAAAAACAATGTAGCATCAGTGTTGTTAGCAGTCATGAGGAGCTATCATAATAATTAATAGTTGCTCCTGACCCTGATGCAAGGGTGTGAGTATATGTCCCAGGAATTTGAGCACACAGATGCTTATTTAGAAATTGCAGTTCTCCCTATTGCCCTTTGGTATTAATTCCTTGCAAAGAGGCTTATATATCTTTGCATAAGAAAGAACCTGCAGTTGTCAAGTGACCTGAATGCCTTAAGAGGAGCGCCTAGTAATGCTCTGGAAATGCATTTTGTTGTTCCTCTGCTCTGTCCCTTGAAGGTGTCGCGTCTCATAATTGGCAATGAGTCAAGTACCCAGTTTGATCCACAAAAATAAGTGTAGTAGATCCGATTTCTGTTCCTCTTCCTTTCTTTTCCCCTCTGTAGTCTTCTGGTTTGCGTCACCCTCAAACCAAAAGGATAAAGGGTGCTGCTAATATGGAACAATGTTATTTCATGCCTATTTGGCAAGGCAGGAGCTAGATGAGTGGACCAAACTAATCAGGTCACACCACAATAAACACACTTGTTCACTTCTTACACTTTTCCTGGATGTGAAAGGATGAGTTATTTGAATGTATAACTTTATTTTTTTACCCTGATTCCAGTGTTCTAGAGCACAGTTGCTGGTAAACTCTTTCCTTGCCTCTCTCTTCCTTTCCCTGTGATCCTAGGAGATGTGGTGCACACCCTTCATCTCTTTCCCAACTTTTAAAGTACTTGCACAGTGTTCATCATAGTGGGAGGGTATCTTAGCATGGAATATTTTCTCCAGGGAGGTGGTGAGCTGCTGTGGAGTCACTGGCAGTGGAGCGGAGCAGGGGGTGAAGATGGAAGGAGGTAGCTGGGATAGCTTGAGGTAGGCAGCATCTCTCTGTTCCTTTTCAGCATTGCTGTGCCCTGTCCCCATCCCATACATGTCCTACAACACCTAGTTCCAGTCCTAATGGCTCCCCAGCAGTGCTCTCCGGAATAAATTTCCCTCTAGCAGATGACATATACTAAGGAACATTTAATTTTATAGTCTACAGAGGATGGGTAAGAGAATTGGAAGGCTTGGTGTTTTTAATAATAATTAAAAATTAACAAATCTGTTACAATTTTTAAAACCAGTGGAGCTTTATTTCACATAACCAGTGCCCCCTCTATCCTTAAGCTGTAGCCTTTCCCTCATCCCTTAAAACAAATGACTTTTGAGACTGGAGCGGTAGGTACCACAAGGAAGACTACAAGCAAAAAACCGAAAAAGTAATCTTGTGCTTAGAGAACCTAAAGAGCGTACTTGCTGGACTTACGCAATTCTGTCTGGCAAATGGACAAGCCTTTGCTTCCTTTTTTTTGAAGAACACTACATGTGAACTTGATCCATCCAGTTTCTCAACTGGATTAAATATGACTTGCAACCAGCCAGTCTTGATTAATCATTTTTAAGCACTTCTTCCATGCATAAGCTATAGTGTGTGCTATTTTAGTATTATCATTCCAGATTGTGTATGTCACTAGCTTGGACACGTAACTTGGGTTGTGCTTTCCAGACTCTGCTGTTTGAATTTCTCTTGATTTGAATATTATCTCAAGGTCAGCAATGACAAGTAGTTAAAGTAGGGAGTTTTACAGTGTTGTTCATACTTACTGTATGTACCTTGTACATTGTACTGTAGGTATAACATAGTGCATTATACATTCTTGATACTATGTGCTTGTCTTCCTGCCTCTTGAGGAAGCTTCACTGCTACTTTAAATATGTATATTGCAAAGCTTATTATAGGACTTCAGGACTGACATGTCCAGAATCACTATTACTAAAATTGTCACCTGTCTAAGCCAAGGATTAAACATTGCATGAGAAATTGCAAAGGGCAATTCCATGAGTAGAATCACGTGCGTGGTTATACCAGGAAACTTTAACACCATCAGGGTGTGTTGTGATTCATAAAGAGCCAAAGGTTACATACTTTCAGCGTTTTGAACAGACTGACTAATTCCTGTACCACTTCATTCTTTGATCTATTATTGACTGTACAGAGAGTTTGTCTTGTTTTAAAGATCTGAGAATAACTGGTTGCACAGCACCAGCCCACTAATCTGTGTGAGACCCCTCAGATGGAATATGTTGATTAAAATACCAACTTAATTCTGGAGACGTGGATTCTTCTGTTGGCTTTGCTGCAGAGTCCTTGCCTGGTCTTGGGAGGGAGGGTAGTGATGGTAAAATTGTTATTTAATAGCTGCTTCTCTCTCGGGGTGGGGGGGCACGCAGAAAACGTGTTTTGCAAAAGTGAGGAATTATTTTTGGATGCTCCTGTGTTTGGATGCGCAGCTTCATTTATTTGAAAAGGACCTGATTTAGGGGGAAGGGCGGGAACCCCTGCTGTCAGCACTTCAGGGAACCTAAAATTGTGCACCCTGAAACTAAGGCATGACGAAGGGGGACACTTTGCAAAACGAGGTGTGAACATTGTGAGAGGTAAATTCAAAATCCAGATTCAAATCTTGCTGGTGCTTTGGATCAGCAGTTAAACTACTTAATACCTGTGTTTCTCAGATGACAAGCTTTGTAAAAGTAAAGTGATGGCTAATAAGCTGTGACTCAGAAGGAACTACATTAACAGCTACAATACATCTTTATAACTATTGAAATGCAAACATTTTTCAATCTCCTCCTGAAATAAAAGCAGGGATGTGAAATCACATAGGATTTCATAGTCCTAGATTTATTCTCTCTGTGTATAGTCCCATGTTCAGTCTCCTGTAGATTTCTGCTCAGTAGACTAAATCACAAGCTTAGGTGTACATTGGCTCTGAAGGGGGCATCCAAGTCCAGAGGAAATGAGGGCCTGGTTTGGCATAAAAGAGAGTGGTAAGGTATTGGGAAGAAGTACTATTGACTTATGAATTTGCAGGATGAGATGCTGGAGATATTTTGGGTGGACCAAAAGAACAGATTAAGTAATTTTAGATTGTGTTCACAAAGAAACTCCTCAATTGTTGCTTTACTCAAAGGGATGGAGAGGAGAAAGCATGTTCTAGAGCACACTAGGAAAAAACCCCAAACTTGTCCTGTCATTTCAGGATAATATTAAAGCCCCTGAAGAGGGCAGGAGCCCTCATTTGTTCTTCAGGAACAGTCCTTCTGCCATGGAGCCCTTTCCCTTGGACTCTGCAGCACATATGAGAGGGTGCTGATATGTAGCAGCTGCTTACTTATTTTCTCACTCCCAAGCCTGCCTCTCTGCCTTTGCTCTGTCAATGCCTTGACTTGCATTCTTAGTGATTCTGTTTCAGTACCCGTCCAGGCTGAGCTGTGTGTCAGTTCACGCAGAGTCTGTTTTTAATTATCTCCCTTATCTGACGGGATCTCAGTGTTAAGCCAAACTGAATAATTATCATGCTTCTTTGGAGATATTTTTATCTTTTTTTCTCCCCAAATGTTTGCTTTCACATTAAAAATTGATCAGAGTCTTGAGGTGGTTGCTTTGCTAGCAGTTTCTTAGATTCTTGAGGATTTATTACTGCATTTGAGTGAAAGGCAAAGTCTCTTCATTTTACACATGGCTATGAGAATGTGCTTTGCCATGAGAAAATATTCACTCTTCACTTAATCCTTCCTGCTACGTTTTATGTTTGTTTCTTCAGTTCATCAGAAGAGGCATTATGAAGAGAAATATGGTAGTGGTATTAATGCTGTGACTGGAATGGTGTCCAGATATACAGTCAAGTTTGTAATTAGAAGCAGTGTCTGTTGTTATCCAAACTGATATAGCTGTGGTGGACAGGGGGACAGACAAACATTTGGGCACTGAAGTCCTTTGGTCTGGAACAGGAGGAGAAAACTGAACTGAGAATAATAGCCATTGTTCTATGTTAACTATCTTGAACTATTAGGTGATTATTTTTGACTGTCGATTTGAGAGGAAAAAGATAGTTAGCTGTTGTGGGACCGAGCGAGAGATGTGATTATGGCCTGCTGAAATATTGAGGATTAGCTGGAGGAAGGGGATGGAGAAACTTGTGATGCATGCTAACGCTAATATCCCTACTGGATCTCTGAACTATTTCTAGTTAGGCACATCAGCTTCCAGGCTTAGAAACAGTTGGAGTTTCACTTGAGACTTGCAAATGGATATGAATGAATTTTTTGTGAACAGATATTCTTCCATTGCTAATGTGGTGTCTGTTTCACATATTTGTATGAATTTGTTCTAGTGCATGGTGGTTGCCTGTTTCACTCCCAAGGCTTCTGTGAGTGCATCTGATGAGTGAAGCAGGATATGTGAAGTCTGATACTTTTGTTCAGAACAGGGTGGGAGCATTTACAGTGATAGTTGAAGAAATGGCTTGGCAAAACTTGCTTTGATTGCTCTGGCGTGGTTCTAGTTATCACATGTTGGTTTGTGGGAAGCAGTTTAGCTCTGTTCTTAAAGAAAACCACAGGGAGCACAGTGTGCTCCCAACAGTTGAGGAAACAACAATTTGGGAATTGAAGCAGTCTGTGTAGATAAATGGGAGGTTGAAGGACATAGTAGGACAGATAAAGATGGAGAACAGTAAATCGTGGTCTTGCTCCTATCTACCCATACTTTCCCCTCTCCACAACTTATTCTTTATTTCCTTCCACTTCCCTAGCTGTCATTCCACTGTCTTAGCTCTGCTCTACTTCCAAACAAACGCTGCTTTTCCCTGATTTTTTTTCTCCCCTTCCTTCTCTTCTACTCTGTTAGATGTGTCCCAAACACAGAACACTTTGTTCTAAATAACCTCCTCAGTTACGGACTTCCAGGCACATTGTTCTCTTTTCACAAGAGACTCGTTTCCCACCTGCCCTCAAAACTGAATCCTTTGTTCCCTTATCTCGTATACCTGTCTTAATTTCTTGTATGCTCTTTATCCTTTCATTTCATTAGGCTGTGGAGAAACTCTGGAGAGCATGATTAGAATGTGTGTAAAAATTTGGAAACGAAGGGGACAAGAAACAAATACTGTTCTTGCCAGTTTCCTCCTTTTCCTTGAACACTTCCTCAGTTTCAAATCAGTATATGGGAATCCAGTCCCCAGCACTTGGATTCCTCCTGAATATCACCTTACAAAGCACTGATGTCCCTATCTTCCTACCCTTATTAGCAGGAAAACTCTGAATGTGAGCAAAGCTTGATTAGCTAAACAGGCAAATGCTCTACGAGCATCACAAGCCTATTCCAAAAGAGAATTCTCAGTACATAATCAAATAGCTGCTAAATACAAAGAAGGCAGTAAGGCGATTGTGGTTCCTTATGAATAGCACAAGCTTCTGGTGTTTGTTTGTTTGGGGTTTTTTTTAAGCTCAGGGATGTTGGTTAATTCATACATAACAGATATGATTTGTGAATTACTAAATGAAGAAAAATGTGTAACAAAATCACCTGAAGTCCTCTTGCTCTTGAAAGCATCTGGAGCTTTTTGCTGGTAACTTTAGTTGAGCTGCGATTTCTCACCATCTACTTCATTGCTTTCTTCCCATCCAGGTGAAGTCAAAAAGTGACTCCAGTTCCAAAAGGATTCACAGTGTTTTTAAGGAAGCAATAAGGATGCTACAAGAAAAAGGGGTGGTTTTCCAGAAACCTAGTAGCTCCAAGGACTTATACCATGTAAGAAACTGAGCTGTGGTTGCAAACAAGTTCAGGGGTATGACTTTCATAGTCAGTAGAAATGTTTCAGAAACAGTAGAAATGTTTCAGAAAGAAGCTGGACATCCAAGTGCTGTCTGTTGACTCAAAAGTCTTATCTGCAGCTTACTTCACTGTCGCTTTTACCTCTGTATCACCCACTGAGTTGTTCTTTTTGTAACTCAGCACCAGAGTTAAGCACTGCTGCTGTTCCAAGTGCAGTCTGTGTTCACTGGGTTGCCAAATTGTGTGCTGATGCAGCTGAGCACACTGAAGCCTGGGACAGTTCTCTTTATTGAAGTGGGTTGAAAATTGGTGTTCTACTGAGTTGGTCACCCTCCTTTGGGTTGAATTTTGGTATATCATGTTCTTCACCTAACTCATGGATGCTGCTAATGGTACTAAAAATAGTAACTGAAGATTCAATGTTCATTATTAGTCTCGGAGGCAGTATGTAATGCAGACTGTAGTTATGACAGTGTTAGTTTAGAATACATCATGGCCTTGGATTGCTTTTCAACAGCCATGCCGTCTACTGTGAAATAGACTGCTATAAGTTGCCAGTTTCTTCTGTTTTCTCCAGGTGACTGACCATGACAAGGAGCTGCTTAAAGTGACCCTTGATGTGATTAAAGAAGACTGTCGAAAACCCAGGCGTAAGTAGCAGTGTGATCAGGGCTCTGAAGAGCTGGTGCTGATATATTGATGAGAGTATCTCCTCCTGCTGCTGGATTAGATATGCTTCTTGCCCTTACCCTTGAACTCGGAGCTAAGTTGCTGGTGTAGCTAATCAGTATAGCTAAAAGCGGGAGTGCAAGAGCAGCTTCCTGTGAGCACGGAGAGAAAAAGAGCAGGTGTGCCCAGCAGGAAGCAAACCTCTCAGATCTGAAATAAGCAGCCATTATCTTAGATCTATATCTTTTGAGAATACTTAGATTTTGGGAGGAACCAAGTGTAATGAAGTTAGGTCAGCATCTAGCAGCTGTTGCTTTGCACTCTGGATAACTAGCAAATCTTGCTAGTTCAGTTTCTGCAGGGGACTTGACACAAAAGTGACCGTACAGAAAGGTGAAATCCCCGCCTCCATTAAATCAACAATAAAACTTACTTAAGTCAGTAGGATATTCTCTGTAGATCTTAAACTCAGGTAGAACACAGGTGGTTGTTCTTTGCAGGTAGGGATTTCAGTCTAACAAAATCCACTTCTTTTCAGATAATGTACCTCGTATGGCTTCTGAGTTATCCCTGTCCCTCAAGCCTATTGTGTCTTATTGCCATAGTGATAGCTTGTGCTTGACTTGAATGTCTACTAATTACACAGGTGCATTGCTACAGAGTTTCTTTCAATTCATTGGGCAGAATGTCAGCAGGGATCACTTGCTGCTGGAGTGCAGCTGTTTGTGGGGTAGAATGCACTTTAGTACAGAATAAATGACTGACTGGAACATAAGGCATATAATCTTAAATCACTCATATCCTTACACTGTCATAACTATAATAGTGCTTGTAGGGCCTGGTATATGATGGTTATCCTGCAGTGAAAAAAGGCTAAGTGAAGTAGTATTATTTTTGAGTTTTCAACTGGCTACCTTAAGCAGTGGTACAATTGTAGACAAGGTTTGTAGGTGGGGGTAAAATTCTGTATCTTTGGGGGATGGAGGGATTAGATGCTACTGAGCATGCAGATGAAGATGGGCTCATTTGCCTGAGGCTGTTTCAGCGCAACAAGTTACCATATCACATTGTTTTATTGTCTTTTATCCAATTAACAAATACAAACATCTTCTCTGTAGGAGTCAAGAGTCTCTGCCCATTTTATACATCAGCTAGTTCTCCTGGAACCTGTTTTTTTTTCATAATTGTGCCACTATACAGGCCAGAACTTTTATACAGTTGACACAGGACACTGAGTGACTGCTTGGTGTAACTCCCCTCTTGTGCGTTTTCACACTGGTAAAGTACTCTCAGTGCTCCATGAGAGATTGGGAAGTTCTTTCTCCCAGTCAGGAGGAGTCAACTTGCAGAGAGAAACTTGTAGATCAGTCACAGAAAAGACTTTGAAGAGTCCTGAGTCCTCAAAGCCATGTTTTCCGTACTGAGCAGGTTAAAAATAGCAACTGCTTTACAGAGCCTCTTGTTCTCCTTGAAGCTTTCCACCTACTTAGTTTCTTGTTGTAAAGAGGACAATTTCCAGGCCAGTGTCTTTTTGCTAGTTTTCAGAAGGACTGTTTCAATGTCCTGGTCACTGGTAATAGAAGATTTTGAGAAGGAAGGCCAAGAAGCTTCAATCAAAACCAACAGGGTACTGCGGCTATTTTATTCTCACTGAATGATGCAAGAGCACAGAGCTCAATGTAACTGTCGGACCCCCTCTGCTGGTGGGATGGCAGTCGTAGCCACCCGCTTGGCCTTGACTAGTGAGCAGGCTTGTAGTGAGAAAACAAGAACACGGCAGTGCCTCAAAAGCTTTTGCTTGTTTGGACCTATTTTCCTTCAGCAGTCATATTAATCTTCCATGACAGGAAGACTGATTTATGATAAACCAAACTCTTCTCTCCAATGAGTTACTTCTCTGCCAGTTTTCAAGGCAATACCTCACTCCATTGCTTTATTTGTGACACATTCTCAGGCCCAACCCAGCTGCCTGGAACTATTGTACAACTAAAAAAATCCTCAACGTGCCTAGTCAGAGCTCCACAAACCCTGATCTGTAATATGCCTACATGACAATCCTAGTCCTTGGCTCCAATTGTAATTCTGAACAGCCTGATCTTAACTGCCCTCATGCGAGGCCACTGTGGGTCTATCTAGAGGCTTAAGACAGCCAGAAAAGAATGACAGTACATTTTGACTTACATGGTAAGTACATGGTAGACTTAGTCCAGATTTGTTTATTTCTTTTTTTTTCCTTTTTCTTTTTTTTTTGACACATTTGCTCTGGTTTTATGCGTAGATGAGGCTAATAGTAGAGAGGAAAAAACCAGAGCCTCTTGAAGTTAAATTTAATATGTCAAAATGGACCCTGTGTGAGATGTCCACAGTGGGAAAATGCTAGTTGTTCTATAACTCTGTCCTCTCTGATATTGGTAGTCAGGCAAGACAGTTAATCACAGCCTGGCTTACCTCAGCTGGTAGACAAAAGCTAGAACCCAATATGGCAATGAAAGAGGGACAGCATCACTCCACTGCGAGGAGTGTATTCCCTCAAAGCTGGGTCGTAGACTAGAAGTGTTACTGGGTTACTTAATGATTGTACACACCTCCAGCTACTCCAAAATGCCATTTTCTACCAGCATCTAGGAGGAAAGTATGTATTGTACTACTGTTGGGTAACACTTGAGTCACTAACTAATTCATCGAGACTTAAGCTAAGTTACTGTAGATCAGGGATGGGCACTTTGACCTTCTTATGACAAACCTATGACTAATGCAAAATGCAGCTACCTGCTTTGTTTGCAACAACAGTCACTATGACCAGGTAGAGGCATTGTTCTGTTCTCTGCACTTATCCATCCTAGGGTGGTGGACGCATTTTTGGCTACCAGCCACAAAGGTCTTTCATCACAGTGGATCACTGACTTCTAAAGAAATATCTTTGCCTGAATCACAGCCTAATAGGCTGAACTGTTTATTTACCAGTACTCAGCATTGCCTCCTGTCTACCAGTGACTTTTCTCAGAAGCTTCTAAGGCAGTTCTGGGCCTCAGCTGATTCTAGAGTAGAGATTGGCAAAAATAAAACCAAAGGCAGCAACAATAAAATACAGGGATCTCCCTGGCCCATGGAAATTTCTCAGTACCCTTATCAAACTTACCTTACATCACGTGAGCTGCGGGCTGAGGAGGAGGAAAGTAATTTGTGCTGATGTGTCTCATTTATGCTAGTTTTCCATTGTTAGCCATGGAGGAGAAAGAAATCTGTTGTGGAGTTCAATACTCGGGGAGACTGGGAGCTTGCAGCACTGATGATTAGTGGGTTTGTAGGGTCTGCTGGGGGAAATGTTGAGTGGGACTGCTGAGCTTCAAATGATGGCTCCACCAGGCACACAGTAGCTGCATGCAATACTGCAACTATTAAGGACCTTTTGTCTCTGGCTAGCCCTCTAGGAGAGGGGATTGCTTTTACATTTCTGTTCTCTTGTACATTTTCAGGGTTCATTCCTCTTAAAAGGAGATAAAATTTGATACTGAAGTTCTGTGACTTTCTACTCCTGTAATTGAGTAGTCTGAAGTGTGGGGATGGGATTGCATTGCTAGGTGAATGAAAGTTGCACTGTAGCAGTTTTTCCACAAGATGCCAGCATTGGGCAAGCAGTTACAGGTTCTCGCCACCGACCTTCCTTCTGTTCTAGACGTTTTTGAAGTTGGGTATGAGCAAAAGGATTTTCATTTGGTTTCTTCTGCAGTTGCGGAAACTGGATGGCTTGCATAGGTGGACAGTGGAGGTACCCTTAAGTTATTAACCTCATCATTAGGTTGTACTGAATGAGCCCTGTATATTAGAGTTTGCAAGACTGATTATCTTTCACCCTCATTACTAGTGTTACAGCCCTGACACTTCCCAGAAAAGTCAGTGGGAACAGTTGATAACAGGAGAACTGTAGGCACAGACTGGATCTCTTCCCTCTGAATACATGCATCTCTGATTTAGTACCTAGGGCATTCTTCCTCTCTGACAGCTGTGGTTTTTTCATGACTAATCTGGATTATAATAGTTAAAAAGAGGCAGTTAGACTGAAGTCGTTCCTCCATGTCTGGCTGCATTTTCCTTTTTTTCTGCAGATGCTGAAAAAGGCTGCCATTTCCTTCATGTCCTGAGTTGTGTTCGGCAGAGCTACAACCCCTCTCTGGCTGAAGAGGTGATGCACCGTGTCTTGGAACTGCTGGAGAGTAACAGTGATATTATCAGCACTATGGAAGGATATTACATGGCATTTTAAAGAGAAAAGATAAGATACATTTGTTCTCGTCCATTCAGGATAAAGGAGGGAAGAAGGAGAGGTTGAGTGACCCTGAAAAGCTGCTATTATCTGGTCTGATGTAGATGGGGGGAAAAAAGAGCATTCTGATTCTGCAAATGCTGGTTTTGTCCAGCTCTAGAGAAATTGTCCAAATACTTGTTTTAATATTCTTGCTGACTTCCTCGTATTCCTAGTGAAAGTTGTATCAAACTGAATCTGGATATCCTAATACAGCAGGGGAGCTGGAAAAGAAGCTGGGCTCTTTCCTTGCAGTAAGATGTGATACGGCCATCCTCACATTTACATCCAGTGAGCCCTAAAGAAAAGTCACTGCTAAAGCACTGTTTACTGCAGTGGTCACGTCAGGACTCGTTTTTCTGGCTTAAAGACTGATCTTGTGATCTTTCTGTACGGTAATAGCTGTGGATCTTTCATTTTATGTATACTTTATAATAGCTAGAGAAAGGACATGCAAGCAAGCAATCAAAAGATTTGCCTGTCCTTCCTGGCTGTGTTGGTGTGCTCTTGTCTATAAATATGTATTCCTGAATGTGCACAGCTTTCCCACTACTAACGCAGTCCTCACTTTTCTCTGAAAAGTAATATTCAGAAACGGGGTCCTGCATCCCTTCCCCATCCTGCAACCTTGCCCACTGCTTGTCAAGCATGTCTGGATTCCCCTGGCTACCGTGTGCGCTACTGATGTGCATTGTTGTGGATTCTGTTCAGACCAGAATTCTCAATATCAGCCACCATTTTGCTGTTTATTTTTAAATTGCTTCCTACATCATAAATGGTAAACCATAAATCAGATGCTTTGGAAAAGAAAATATGAAAGCTAGCAAAACCCACTGTCATCTCCATGCTCCCTGTTGCCTTTTGTGTCTTCTTATCCTTGTTACCTTTGGCAAAAAACACTAGCCATATCTGGGCTTGCAGAGGACAAGACATTGATGAAATAACACGGGCCTAAGGAAGGTTACTGTGCAAGATGTTTTATCTGGAATAATCAGAACTCTGTTATGTGCCACAGTTCAAAGCCTGGAGTGTTCAGTATTTATCCTTAGAGAGGTCTTGCTGCTGCAGGGGCTTGTCTGTTTAATTAATCTGTTTAATTAATGGTGTGGAGGTGAGACCTTTAACTTGAAAAGAGTAGAAAGGATTGAATGCATCCTTCCTCCTTCCTCTGCACCTTCCCTGTAACAGTTGAAATAGCAGACTCCCAGGAGGCAGATGTAGTGGTAAAGCCCTATAAGGATTGACATAGCAGGGAAAAATAAACCATATGCATGAGGAAAGCCAGTGAGTAGCCCCATGTGTGCCAGGTCTCTGGTTTGTTGTTATATTATATGCCTCATTCCAAGCCCTGGCTGCAGTGAGATATAGGCTAAGAGAAAGGCATGACAAAATATTTGGCATTTGCATTCAGAGGCCTGTGGAAAACTCTGGCCTTAAAGAGATGGTGCATTTGTCCATGGTGGAAGGCTATGTATGAATCATTCTTTTGCTGTAAATTCCCTACTTGCTGCAGGGCTCAATAGTTGATTTCCCTGCAGGGTGCCCTAATCCTAGCATTGCTGCTCTGTTTTGAGTTGGGTACCTTCTAGTCAGATCTTAGTATGGGCCTGAACAGGTGCTGAAAGGACGTACTTGTGCAGAAGGAAATAAAAGAGAAGAGGATTAAGAAAGAATTGTAGAAGTCGTCTTCCTCCCCCCAGCCTCCTCCACAAGCATCTCTGGAAAGCAGGGAAAGAAGTCCAGATTCTGAGTGAGGTGGTACTGAGGGGAATTGCAACTTTAATTCATGCCTGCAAAAAGATCTGGTTGGCCACAGAGGAGATTTGCTTCAATTCAGTTTGAAGTGATGCTTAAAAACAAAGGCTGTCTATGGAAGAAGTAGGTTGGAATATCGATTCCTAAATTCAGACTCACTTCAGGAGTTAATCATATGTTACTTCTTGATTATGGAGAAGTCACCCACTTGGCATGAATTTGAGGATATTTTAAGGAAAGTATGTCATGTCTTGGACCATATGGAAGAGCATGGCACCTAATATAAGAGATTGACTTGGCTGTTTTCTTGAAAAGTCTTGTATTAGCAGAATCTGATTTTGCTGGGAAAGGGTTAAAAGAACACTGCTAGCTCAGAGGGAAAGGTGATCTCCTCTTTTAAGTTAGAAGAGAGAAAGACTCTGGTTCTCCTGAGGGTAGTCAGTCAAGTGTGTGGGCTGGATGAGTTTTGGGAGGAGCGCTGCGCAGCTGAATCTTGGAGGAAAAGATAGTCTTGAGATCGTATTGCTCTTTAGGGTCTCTTTAAAATAAATTCATACCAAAACAGGATTACATCTTTGTCCTTTGCAGCTTGGATAGTCATACGCACAGCATCTAATGTGTTCTGTTGCCTCCAACTTTGATGCTGCACTTCCTGTGTTTTAGATGTGTTTCTGTGTGTAAAGTCTGCCTAAAACCCCTGGCCGCCTATTTTCTATGCATTGGAGATTGATGCAGACACAAAGTGTCTTTCCTCTCTGTTCTGCCCGTTGCAATTTAAAAGCACTGATCAACTGCGAAGTGTCAGAGATGAGGTGGGAAGAATTCATCTTGGGAAAGACAGATAAGTGACTCTGGAAAGAACCTGTCTTTGGAAGTTTTAAAGCTGGTCCTTGCTGGCGGTGCTGGACTTGCTTCTGATTGTGGGTACATTCTGTTGGAGATTGCCCCCCAAGAACAAGGGAAAAAGGGATTTTTCTCACTTGAGTTAACTCAGGGGAAATATGAATGAACACAAGGGAGCCTACAGTTTTTACAAGAGTGAAAGGTTAAAGTAAAACTAATGGAGGAACCTAAGTTTACGTTACACAATTCTGAATAACTGTATGGAATAGTTGTGCCTTAAGCTTGCATGCTTTATTTTTTCCATGGTAGCCACCCAACACAGACTAACGCTTACTCTGGTTGAGTGCATTCCCTTTCTTGTACCTACAGGGAATACCATATGCATATGCCTGCACAGAAGTACCCCAGCTAGCTGTGGGAGCACAGAGCTCACTGTAGGTTGATTTACCCATCTACTCAGTATCTCTACAGTATGCTTCTGTGACAGCAGTCTAGACATACCCATACTGGTATAAGTCACCTTTATGTAAGTCTAACTACGCACACTAGGGCTTTTACTGCTAATAAACTGTCTCTCTGTTTAAAGATCATATCCTTAACCAAGAGGGTCATATCATGCACACTGTTAAAATTCTTAGACCACACTTACAAAATATTGTGCGGAACATTCAGTGAAAGCACGCTTTCTTGTTTCGTTTAATTTGAAAACTCGTTAGGCAACACAATTATTACTGGTTTATTAAACGACTTTGAAGGTGGCACTTTAATGTAAAACTGACAAGTGAGAATTCACGTTGTAGGACTGCTTCATGGCCAGTTCCAGTTTCCATAGAAACAGTTATGGCAGTAAAAGGCAGGTAAGTAAAATGGAGTTTTCAAAAGCAGTCAGCATTTTTATGTTACCTGAAAAATGTATGTTTCCATAGAAATGCAGCTCCTGAGAACAAAAATTACCAAAGAATCTTAGGATTCTGTTCTAGCAAAATGTAAGGTGATTGCTTTTCTGGTGAGGAAACAAAGGAACAGCTCTACCTTCAGTCCCCACCATCTGCTTAGGTGAGAGAAGAGATGAGGTTGCTTCATGCCTCAGTTTCCCTCTTTTGTAAATTGGGGATAATACAGCTCCCTGTGTAGGGCATAAGCCTCAATTTTTCTTAATGTTAGTCATTAAAAGCTCTTGAGATCTATTGGTGGGAACTATTAGGGAAGAACTCTGTGGGAGTGGATGAAGCGATAGATGCTGGAGTGGGACTTGGTTCTAGTGCAAGCCCCACTTTTGCTAATAGCTTTATCTTTCTCTGCCTCTCTTTCCATGCATATTGCTTTGCCTGTCTTGTCTCTTTTCTCTCCAGGTCCTATGAGGCAATGATGGTCTCCCTGTTTTTATTTGTACCAAATATTTTTCCTGGAATCCTGTTCCCTCTTATGACTTCTTAAATGACTTCTTAAAAATAGAAATCCAGATAAATGAGTTCTGAGTATTCTTGTTCTCAAATCTTTGGATTGTAAATTTGTGCCCATGAGGGTGTGTATTTTACACAAGCTATCTGGGAAATGAAGCTTTTCTTTTGAAGTAATAAATGAAAAATTTAAAGATTGGCTACATGACTGAAAGACGTTACTTTTGTGCATCTGTCCATTTTGCATATTCCAGTGATGAACACCATAAATAGGAGTTGCTAATGCATTATTCAGAATGAGAATTCATCAATGAGCAGGCAGAGAGGCATGGAGCCACATGGAGAATTATGAGACAAAATACTGAAAATCTGCTTGTCAAGAAATGCAGTTTGGTTTCCTTTGGGAGTAAGCTGATCCTGTGGGGAAAAGATGTGCCTAGCAAAGATTTGTATCTTTATACTTACCTTTAAAAGGGAAGGGAGCAAGTTCAGATCCCATGGGCAACCTGAATTTTGAAACTTCCTGTCAGTGCGGTGCTACGTTTTTCATTGCCGTATTGCAGTCTCCAGCCCTCCTGCCCCAACCCTACGGGCTAGCGAGCAAACAAAAGTTCAGCTGCAGAGATAAAAGAGTAATTATAATAATTGGTTACCATCCTCCAGGACCCCCAGCATTACAGAAACATTTTTGTGGATGTTTGTTGGCAGCAAGGAGATGCTGAGTTGAGGATCTTGGGTTTCATTCCCAGCAATATGCCCTGTCAAGCACAGAGGCTTTCCCCCTAATTTCTTTCATCTATTTCGGCGCTCCACTCTCTCCTCCAACTGTAATTTCTCAGGCCCTTCATTTCATTCACAGTCTCATGGTTCATTTGCACCACAGATCCTGGTCAAACCTCCTTCCTCTCTACTTTGTTCCCTTTTTCTTTCCTAACTCAAATATCTTGTCAGCATCTGGCCATT